TTCATAAATAGGCCCAATGGCCTGTGATGGGCTGTTAGATGGGGTGAGATCCGAGTTACCCAGGGAAGAATTTTCTGTAGTATCTGGCTGGTGAATCTTGCCCATATGCTCAGGGTTTAGCTGATCGCCATATTTGGGGTCGGGAAGGAATTTTCCTCCAGGGCAGATTGGAAGAGGCCCTGGAGGTTTTTCGCCTTCCTCTGTAGCATGGGGCACGGGTCACTTGCTGGAGGATTCTCTGCTCCTTGAAGTCTTTAAACTACGATTTGAGGACTTAAATAGCACAGATATAGGTGTGAGGTTTTTTTTTGTAGGAGTGGTGGGTGAAATTCTGTGGCCTGCGTTGTGCAGGAGGTCAGACTAGATGATCATAATGGTCCCTTCTGACCTAAATATCTATGAATCTATGTTGGTAGCACATGTTCAAACCCAGGCAGCCCTGACTAGGCAGACATTGTTAACAGGTCTATCGTAAACAAAGGAATGTATGTTTACCTTGGTTTACATGTAAATAGGAAACAGGGTCCTCAGGACAGCAAGAGGATGTAAACCAGTTTCTCAAAGACAAAGGACAAGCTAACGCCTCTAGCCAGGTATCATCAAAGTTGATTGGCAATACCCTGGAATGTGATAAACACTTTCTAGTAGCTAAATTTAATAGGCTAGACTTGGTTCAAGGTAAAATCCTCACCACATATTCCCAGCAACACTGCTGACCAAATTATCAGATTAGGACCTCCCCCCACCCCCAAAGTCAAAGGGCTGGTTCCTTTCTTGTCTTTGGTGAAAGAGAGTGTGAGGGGGAGGTAGAAAGAGAGACCCTGGGATGTTTTTGCCCTCTACTTTTATAGTCCAGTCACCCTTTGAAATGCATTTTCCTGAGGGTTATACCTAGATCAGCAGTTTTCAACCTGTGGATTGTGCGTAAGAGATCTGTGAAAGGTTGTCATTGCCATAGAACAGTAGTTTTCACTCTGAAGTCCACAGACTATATCTAAGATTTACAAATGTGTCCGCATTCCCATTTTAATTTTTTTACGGGTCTGCAAATGAATGAAAATTGAAAACCACTGCCCTAGATAAAGTTCCTTCCTGCTGTGAGAATGGAGACATGGAGTCTCGTGGTGAAAGAGGTTCCATGTGGTTGCTTGCTAAAATGCAGATGTATTTGTTCCTGCCCCCCTTCGTTGCCAAAGAATGGCCACTTGACAGGTGACTGCCCATCAGCTTTGATGATACCTGACTAGAGGTGTCAGCTTGTCCTCTGTCTTTGAGACCGTGATACACCCACTCCCCAGACTTGTCTGGTAAACACATTGACTCATAATTTCAGCTTATGTTCATAACTCTTAACAGGCATTTTGTACATACATTTCGCCATGAGATTGTTGACCAGTGAGTTTAGTTTTCAAATGATATCCCACGAGGCATATTTTGTACAAAGATTGTTACAATAGTGTGTAGGGTGTGAATAGAAGGGTGCACTCAATCACAGCGTTTTATCTTTTTATTTCTCTTGTAAACATTTCTGAGTTCAATGTTTTATACTTGTACTCACTTAAAATCTATCTCTTTGTAGTTAAATAAACCTTTTATTTTTCAAGCTAAACTAATCCAATGTTGTATTTAAACCAAGCTGTTTGGTAACGCCATTCAAAGTAGTTGGCGGTTGGATATTGACCCCTTACAGGGGCAATGAACCTCTAATATCTGGACTGTCCAGGAGGGGACTGGAGAGTAGAGAACACATGTTTCCAGGGAAATTTGGAACTGGGACTGTGTTGGGGTCACCCTGCAGATAGTAACCAAGGCTGGTGGAAGCCAGAGTGTGGCTGGTGTGTTGCTGATGGGCTGCTGGGGTCATTGTTGCTGGGCCAGGACTGTAGCTATGCACAGACTCTCAGGGTGTGACCTGCATGTTGTTTAGCTCTTTGTGAGCAGCCCAGGAGGGGAGCTATAACAGCAGAGCATTGTGACATGCTCAAGGTTGTAGGGCACATGGTGACACAACCTCTCAGTGGTCTGGATTGCACCCCAGAATGTGTCAGATGCTACCACACAATGTGTCTACCACAAATTCCATTTTTCAGAAAATGATTAAAAGTGAAAGAATTTTAAAGTTCAGTGCACTTGTCATTATGTTTTGTTTACTTGCATTTATCTCCACTTGGGCAACAAAATCAATAAAATCCATTTCACTTTTACTTATAGTCACCTTTATTTCCAATTTTAAGGGCTGCACTGTTTGGATATCAGACACTTTAGGGGATTATTGGTTTTACTAAAAACAAGTGTTTACTGGATTTTTATTTAATTGCAGAAACATTTTTATTGCTCTGATAATGGACAGAATAATGCTAGCTTGCCAAATAACTGCCAAATAATTGCCAAATTTATTTCAAATTTTATATTGAAGTGCAGTGCCATTCTCTCATATCTGCTATGCATGCCAAACTTACTTGCAGATCCAACATTACTATTAATAAGGCCTTGAGTAGAGGATGTTCAGCAACTTACAGGAATTTCTCAATATCCTGCAGGATCAGGCACTTACGGCTTGTTCCAAAACCCTTTGAAGTCAATGGAAAAATTTCCACTGATTTTAGTGGGCTTTGGATCAGGTCCTTAGTTACCGTCAAAGATAACTTTAATAGCTGCCAATTTGTCATCAGTCCACATTGCAACCATATTCTTTTATCACCCTTGAGAAGCAGTTACCTTTCAAAGTAAAATTCCTACTAGTGTGACTCCTTGTCTGTTTTAAAAATCTATACTCTTTCAGCTCCTCTCTGGTCACTATGTAGTAGAACTCTACCAAGCTTCACTTAATGTTAATGTTGAGAAGTTTTATGCTATGCTATGCTATAAGGTCAGAGTTTGTCTGGACTCTGATAGAACTTGTGTTGCCAAAGTCCTTCCTGTTTGGCTATGGTTTTCATGGCTGAGGAAGTGTTGGGATTTCCTTTTCTGAGACTCGTGGGGGCAGATCCTCTGCTGGTGTAAACTGTCATAACTCCATTTATGTCAATGGGCCTGAGACAGTTTACACCAGCTGAGGATAGGGTTGCCAATTTTGGCTGGACGTATTCATGGAGGTTTCATCACATGACATAATATTTACTTAAACATTAATCTTTAATTCCCGGAGACTCTAGGACAATCCTGGAGGTTTGGCAACCTTAGCTGAGGACCTACCCCATGGTGTTTCTAATGGGGTCAGCCCTTGTTTGTCACTTGAGCAGAGCAGTACAGGAAGAGCAGGGAAAACCTGATATGCACTTCCATCAGCAGTAGTTGTAATTGGAATCCATTCTTCTTAGAATATGCCCAACATGCCTCAGGTGGCACATGACTAGGATTCATCCACCACTGATTAGATCATTAGCTTCCCCAGCCCGAGCCAGGTACTAATGGGGAGCACGACATGAATGCCGATCCATGCCCCCCTTTAGAATCCATTAATAATAAATAGGGGTAAAATCTTAGTCCCATTGAAGTCAATGGCAAAACTCGTACTGACTTGAGTGGAGGCAGAATTTCACCCATAGGGATTGAGAAACTGTAATTATCTAGGCAGGTGGAGAAAACACAAATTAAAGAGGAGCACTGAAAACTAATTAACTATTCAGTGTCTTTCTCAGCCTCAATATAGATAATGAATTCGATGCTTTTACAAGCAAATTGCTGTTGTGGGTAACTTTCCATAAGTTTTGTTTTCCAATCTTTTACTATTATGCCATTGGTTAAAATGCATTATCAATGTTCCATTGTATTTATTCTCCACTGCCTCTGCAAACAACATCTGTAAGTCTGCTATAATTATTATTTGTATTACAAAAGCACCTAGAGCAGGGGTGGGCAAACTACGGCCCGTGGGCCAGATACGGCCCGCAAGTCATTTTAAGCTGGCCCGTGAACCACACCACACGGCTCGGCTCTGGCCGGGGCACTGGGTCGGGGGCTGGACCACCCAGCTTGGCCCTGCTCCGGCCGAGATGCTGGGTTGGGGGCCGCAAAACGCAGCTCTCGGAAGGCGTGGCATGGCCCCACTCTGGCTCCTACATGCTCCAATGGGAGCTGCAGGGGTGGTGCCTGCGGATGTGGCACCATGCAGAACTCTCTGGCCGTGCCTCCATGTAGGAGCTGGAGAAGGGACATGCCACTGTTTCCGGGAGCCACTTGAGGTATGCGCCGCTCAGAGCCTGCACCTCTCAGCCTCTCCCCATGCCCTGACCCCCTTCCCCAGCTGTGATCCTCCTCCCGCTCTCCAGTATCCTCGATCCCAGCCCATCACCCTCCTGCACCCCAAACCTCTGATCCCCAACCCTACCCCAGAACCCGCACCCCCTCCTGCACCCCAACCCCAATTTTGTGAGTATTCATGGCCCGCCATACAATTTGTATTGTCCGATGTGGCCCTTGGGCCAAAAAATTTGCCCACCCCTGACCTAGAGGCTCTTGCTAATTGTGTGACCTGCCATATGTTTTGTTTGCTTTTTGTTTTAATGACAATTTTTTTAGTAATTTCTAATGTAAATCAGTGTTTGAGGTTTTCGTAAGTTGCTGGCAGTGAGTGGATTAGAAGTGATGCTAAATAAATACAGTAGTTGAAAGGGTCTGACCTTGTATTAAGGCAAGTGAACAATCGTGTCAGAAACCACATTTTCATAAACTGTCTCTTTCAAAATATCCTATATACCCAGGAGGTATTTCTTTGAGACACGCAAACCATTGTACAGGCATATGCTTATACACTAGCTCTCATGTTACCAGTTATGTATGTTTCCTCTTTGGACTATGTATTTTTCTAGTGAGACATTCTTTGTTTTTCCTAGAGGAAGTGTCGATTACATCATAAAATCAGACCTTTCACGTTTCCTTTTCTTCATGTGAATGTGCAATGTTTAATCCTGCAAGCCTATGAAATCTGTACAGTGCTGCAGTTTTTAGTGGGGCCATTGTTAACAGCATAATTTTAAAAGGTGCTTTTTTTTTTCTAGACTGTTTATTCCATGGCTCAGTTTCCTTTTCCACAACTGGCAGAATTAAGGGAGAAATATACATACAACATTACTCCATTCCCTGCAGCAGTAAAATCAACTTCAGTTTCAGGGTAAGTCTGAAATACATCCAGAAAAATCTTTTATTCCCTGTAGTCTAATAGAGCCACTATTAGTCTGTACAGCCGAGAGGCTAATAGTTGCTTTTTCCATTGCACATCTAAAATAGATGAAGGCATTTAGTAATGATCAGTTCACTGATGTATCTAAGATCTGCTTTCTTTTCCATTTCTTTTCATTTGGCAGAAGGCTCGGCAGAACCAGAGATAGTGATGAGGAGAATGACCTGGATGATGAAGATTCGGTTGCCAGTGCAGTTGGCTGCCTTGGACCATTCAGTGGGCTCTTGGCACCAGAGCTACAGAAGTATCAAAAACAAATCAAAGGTAAATGCAACTTCAGTTCATTCTGAATTATCCAGTCATATTTGTGTGAGCTTGATTCACCTGCAGGTTAATTGAAATTATGAAAGTTGTAGTTTGAATTGTATGCAGAGACCATTATGGATCTTCTGTAACTTGCTGTACAATCTTTGGATACTCTCCTACTAAATTGAATGCTTGTGTGTGTACAATACATGATGGTGTGGAATAAAGATTTTAGCCATGATTATTACCCAAAATATTCCAACAATCCTAAAACTAAGCTGAATAGGAGCTGTTAGGTGCTCAGCACTTTTGAGGATCCCAAAAATAATGAAATATGGCCTTAAGAGTCTAACTTTTAAAAAAAAACCTGTTTTTTGTTACCACATGTTTATATAGCATCAGAATCCACGAGTGAGTTATGCAGGTCATCCCCACCCCACTTTCATAAAACCTTTATACCATTCCACACCATCATTTATTCTGTAAATAACAAATTTTATAGAAAACTATTTTGAAATGTTTCAGAGTGTTATACATAAATTCATTGAACCTATTTTCATATCCCTCAATCTTTCACTCAATACCATGAGTCCTACTGTGCAAGCCTCAAAAGGAGAGCAAAATTCTAATACATTTTAGAAACGTAAAATTTTACCTAAAATAGCTTTCCTATATGTGATATAATGGCTTTAGAGTCTGATTTTTGTGATCCCCACTGCAGGATTCTCTCTGAACATTTTCTCTCAAAGATGTAACTTTCTCAGGTTTTATGTCATTTTCTTTCAATAGTTCTTTAGATGCACAGGAGTGGTTACGAGAAAAACCTTCTTGGTGTCCCTGATTGGCAGCCAATAACATTGTTAATTTTTATTATTGTTCAGGTAACGTCAAAAATCTTCCTTGGATCTCCCAGGCCTTTGCCAACAAGTGGAATGGTTACAGTTATGCTGTCTGCCTCTTTACCAGAAACTATTTCTATTGGATTTAATTTCACCATTCCTTCTGCTTGTATTTGCCGAGATCTGTATGCGAGAATTCTCTGTTTGATGTTGTTTTGTTTTCTTTTCTTGGAGGACTGCAAGTCCCCAGCTGCTGCCTCAGACTGACACTTACTCAGAATGTTAAACCAGTCTTGCAAACTAGATGTAATCCAAACAAACATCCTATGAAATAAGTTATCCCTTTGACCCTGAATTGCCATTTTAGCAGTGCATCAGAGACAGCTGGGAAAATAACTTCCGCTGCTCCTGTTGCTCTGCCACTCTTTGATCATATAAACTCCCTCGCAGCCTGCCTCTTCCACTTCCCCCACACCTGCTGATTCTGCTGCTCCCTCCCTCCTTGCTGATCACTATCAGATAGTCAGTCTCATTTGACCAAATGACTAGTTTGACTGTAACAGAGTTACATATCAGTTCATGGAGTGGTGGCCTCAACTTCTAATCACTTTGTAACTGAGAATCTTTGTTTACTACTTGGTCATGTGAAATACCCACTTTAGTGACTGCGCTGTATGTTTTTTATGCAAACAAGAAATTCAGTTTATATGTTTAAGGTATATTGCAAGGTTTATAAATTATATTTAAGTTAAATATTTACACATATTATAATACAGTTATAATAACTGTTTTTATTACACAGTGTAGTTAAAATAACAGGAGTTGGGCATGTAATTTACTCGTGCATTTCCTTGGTTAATGATTAGGAGAGCACAGAATATTCTGATGTATTCTTCCCCCTCACTTTTTCCTACTGTGTACAGATCAGAATGAAGAACAGAGTTTGGGCTCTAGTAACATTGCGGAACTAAGTCCAGGGGCAATAGACTCCTGTAGAAGTGAATACCATGCTGCTTTTAACAGTATGATGATGGAGCGTATGACCACTGACATTAATGCATTGAAAAGGCAGTATTCCCGAATAAAGAAGAAGCAGCAGCAGCAGGTTCACCAGGTGTATATCAGAGCAGGTAATATATCAGAACATGCTCTTCCCCTTTATTCTTTACAAGCCAACTTCACTATCTGAAAAGAGAGGCAAAAATGTTTTGTGTCTTTAAATTATTCATATGTAGAGAGAGGACAAAAGAGAATGAATGAACCTGCAATACATTAGTGATATTGCAGAAGCAATTTTATACAAACAAATTGTATATAAGATGATGTCTTTGTTTTTCTTTTATCAGGGTCTGAAGATGATGACCCTGGGATCTTGTTAGGTCCCAGGGACCAGCTGAATAATGGTATCTAAAGATGTCTTTGCTATCTGGGTATATCACATTGGTTTCACTGATGAAAGTGTTAAAATCTGCGGCATCCTTGGACTTGACAATACTTATACATTGTTAAAGAAATGACAATAATATACTTCAAGAACCAAGGGGTAGATCCTCTGCTGGTGTAAATTGCCATAGCTCCATTTAAATCAGTTTATTGAAGTGAAGGGAACTGTGCCACCAAATAGTCAATTGTAGCTCCAAGATTGACAATTCAAATCCAGTACCAGGATGGTAGTGAGTATGTGGGAAATGGGTTTGTTCCCAGTCCATTTCCCCATGGAGAGAGATCCACATGATAAAAACTACTACCACAATTGGCACTGATTGGCAGCTTTGGGGGCAGCATCAGCAGACAGGCTGAGGATTTTAATAGGCATGGAGACTGAACTACCATCTCACTGCTAAAGATGGTCCCTCCAAGTCACAGTTGAAACACGTTGATGGGCCCCTGTGGGAAAGTTTGTTCCACTAGTGCTATACCTGGAGGATTTTAGTCACCAGAACAGTCAGTCCAGCAGGTTTCATGACTGTTAAATTCACATGAAAGGAAAAAAAGATATTTATTTTTAAAATACTGGCAATGCATCTTGTGCAAACAGAAGCTCTGGCCAGACTGAAACAATGCAATAGTAAGATCCTCATTTCCAATGATTGCCAAACCCTTTCTGATTTTGCTAATCATGATTAATGGGCTAATATATAGTTTTAACACACTAATTCTGAGTCTGTCACTCTGGTAAAATCGGAAGTTCTGATGGAAATTAGAAGCTAGTTTGTCCTGGTTCCAGTTCAGCATGGACAGAAGTCTATTAAAAATAAATTGGTGCATTTTTCAGCCCTCTGCTCAAGGAGAGGCCTGTGTGACTGACCTAGTGTAGAGACTGAATTGCCTCTCGCTATTGAAGGAAGAATCTAAGAGAAATGGGGGACTCACTAAGGCCAAGGTTAATGTTAACCTTCGTATTGTAGCAGGTATATGTACCCTATAAGAGTAAAAAACCCTGTGCAGGGCTATGTTCAGCTCTAAACAAATACAAAGCAAAATCATATTGGCAATACTTTCCAAATTTTCACAGTGCCCCACCTCCTGTCATGCTCCCATCTGCAATTCCTAAAATGATAGAACCAGTTTCCAGATTTCTATTATTTTAGCAGTAGTTACTGATTTAGGAATTAACAGTAAGAAAGGAGGTGGGATGAGGGAAAGCTTTTACCATACTTTTCCTCTCTGTTTTTGACTTGAAGATACACTATAGTGTTAGAGGAATTCAGTTTCTACTAGGGTCTGTCCTACAAATCATCACAAGAAACAGCAACAAGACTGTTTGATTGGTGAGTGATCACTGATGTAATGATTTGTTTTTGTTGTTTAAGACTATGTAATTTTTTTTAACCTTTTCTTTCAGACAAAGGGCCAGTTACCAGTCTTCTCCCTTCTCAGGTAAACCATTCTCCAGTGATAAACCACCTTCTTTTAGGAAAGAAGATGAGAGCGACTAATAGAGCTGCCAAGAATGCGGTCATTCATATCCCAAGTCACACAGGGGGCAAAATGTCACCCATTCCCCATGAAGATCTTAAAACAAAACTCAACTCTCCCTGGCGCACCCATATCCGAGTACATCGAAAGAACATAGCTAGAGCCAAATGCCAGCTGGGCTATGGGGATACCATAGGACTCATAGAAGAGCAGCGTGAAGTCTGCAAACCAAACAGCTGCAGTGCAAAGGAGGACCCTCCAAGCAATTCTGATTTGGGGGAAAGAGAGGGAAGTGGCTTGGATAACAGGACTATTCGGAAAGTTGATGGACAGTCAACTGAGCCACTTTACAAGGACACCAATGCAAATATGTCAGTTGTTCAGCTGAAATTAGAAGCACTAGAACTCACACAAAATAACAAACCTGATGCTGAGCCAATGACCGATCAGTCCTGCCCAACATACGTATCAGAATCACCTAGTTTATCCAGTGACAGTGGAACATTGGCTAAATCTCCCCAACCCATCAATCCTAAATTACAAGTGTTTAGCCCTTTCCCCAGTGTCAAACCTCTTCGAAAGTCAACTGCAGCCCGCAATTTAGGTTTGTATGGCCCAACTGAAAGAACTCCAACGGTGCACTTTCCACAAATGAGTAGAAGTTTCAACAAGTCTGCCAATGGGAACAGCGGGACTAAAAAACGATGATGTACCGTCAGCACTTTATATTTCTGGGGGGAAAATGTATTGATTGTTGTGTGTATATGTGTCCAAAAGAGTTTCTAAATAGTTTAATTCTTTAAATGAAATAATGGGGACAAAGTGGTTAACAGATGTATAAATATGTATCCTTGAAAATTGTGCTCTTGGAATGTATGGATAGATTAGGAAAGATGCACTGTGGCACACCATGTAGATTATAATGGTTCTGTGATAAAATAAACATTGATTTGCAATATGAAGTATGCTTCTACTTTTTAAATCTAATGTAGGAGAAACTGTAGGGCTGCCTCCTTCCCCCCTTCAAAGGGTGCTCCATGTCCCTGTCAGGGCCCTGAAGATAACTTTTCCATCTTATTCACTTATACCCATCTACAAAGCATTCTGTCTGACTACCTGCCTTATGGTTAAGTGGAACTGCCTTTAGATCTCATCAGCATGGCTCCCTAACTAGCTAGCGGAACTGCAATTAAACAACAAAAGGTCAGGCAGATATAGAAATCAAAAGCATCTCTTGCAGTGCAGAAAATTACCACTAATATATGGGACCAGCTGGATGGTGACTCCAAAACTCTTCAGCAGCATTTATTGTTTCTGTTCCTGTGGCAGGTCTTGTTCCTGTGGCAGGTTACTTCTTTTCAATTTTCAGTTTGAAGTTGGTCAGCTAAGCTAAAATAAGAAGAAAAACATACCCCTTCTCATGACATTGCAAATTGCTACTACAAAGAAAAAAATCTGTGACAAGTCATAGAGTAATAAGATTAAGGATCTATAGAGAGAGTTGTTCATTTATTGGTAAACTTCTTGGCTACATGTTTCAGAGTAACAGCCGTGTTAGTCTGTATTCGCAAAAAGAAAAGGAGTACTTGTGGCACCTTAGAGACTAACCAATTTATTTGAGCATAAGCTTTCGTGAGCTACAGCTCACTTCATCAGATGCATACAGTGGAAACTGCAGAAGACATTATATACACAGAGACCATGAAACAATACCTCCTCCCACCCCACTCTCCTGCTGGTAATAGCTTATCTAAAGTGATCACTCTCCTTACAATGTGTATGATAATCAAGTTGGGCCATTTCCAGCACAAATCCAGGTTTTCTCACCCTCCGCCCCCCCCCCCCCCAAACTCACTCTCCTGCTGGTAATAGCCCATCCAAAGTGACCACTCTCTTTACAATGTGTATGATAATCAAGGTGGGCCATTTCCAGCACAAATCCAGGTTTCCTCATCCCCCCCCCTTTCCAAAAACCACACACACAAACTCACTCTAGTGGATTTAAAAAGTAAAATCTGTAGTTTCTTGCCATTTTAAGGTAAGTTAAATTTAACATTAACTGTTGACAGTGGGCAGAATTTTCAAAAGTGTTCCAGTGACTTAGGAACTTACACCCCACTTGCAAAAGTGATTTAGAAACCTAAGTCTCATTGGAAGTCAACCCACCACCCATTTAAGCGAGTGGACCCACTCCAGTTGACTAAAATGGATTCCGAAACAGGCCTGTGTATAGGGTATGGAAGCTTAAGATTAATTATGAATTCCATTCTAATTTATTTTGCCAATTGCTCATAATTTTTTCTCCAATACCCAGAATATTGTCTCTTTTCCGCAGTTGTGAAACTTTCAAAGCTTGTAAGTTCCTTAAGCCAAATAACTCTGGATTTCTTTCCATATATATTCAAACAGACAAACAGGGAAACTAAATGTAAAACACTAGGGATAATTCAATTTCAAGGTTGAAAACTCAAGCACTCAACTTCCAAAAATTCAGATTGCTCCTATAATGTTGACTCTACCATTATGAATATATTGGCCCTGGTTCCCCACTATGTTGCTTCAGAGTTGCACAGGCATGAAATGGAAGTAATGCAGCAGTGAATCAGCTCCAGTGTGTATAGTATTTGTCTCTTCTTATAGTCTTTAAATGTAAACTTTAATATATCATTGTTTATTAATGTATCCCATAAAATACATAGGCTGTACTATAGGAATTAATGTATACCATACATTTATGTAGGCTGTACAGTATGCCCTGCTGTGAGGGCAATTTTATCTTGTTTGTGTATTTTATATGGGTATGGGTGTAATATAAATATACAAATATGTATATTATAAATTTTAAACAGATGGCGATCAATCCTTGCCCCCTTCCTCATTTTCAGGGCTATGTAGGATATTTACCAATGATTACCTATGAGGTTGAATAAAATTTTTTAAAATGCAGAATTTAGTCATTGATCAGGGACTGTACTTGGAAGTTTTTAAAAGAAGTGTAAACCAAGGAGGAAACCTTACTGTGAATCAGACTCCAAGTGACTCAAACTCCCATTCATTACTGTGAATCAAATTCCCAGTATTAGTGTACTAGAGGGGGAGAGAGAGAGAGAGAGAGACCCAGTAAAAAAGAAAAGGACTGACATCCTAAAGCACAATGATAAAATGTCAAAAGTGTGTGCATTTTCAGCACATAATATGACTTTAAAAGATTTAACAGCTGGTCAACTGTAGCTAGATGGCAGTAAGAGTAAGAAATGCCATAAAAGAAAACTAATGCCAGAGTGTGGCATGTAAGCAGTATTTGATAATGCACAATCTGGGGCACCTGTTCCTTTAATAATGGAGCACTTTTCTCTTCTCAGTATGAAGATTTTGAGTAATCAAAGTAACTAAACACATTTAGTTCTGCTGCAGCCTGAAACATTCTACCCATAAACCTGGCACAAATTCCTCACTTCCTGCCTTGCCTTCTGACACCTTACTGATCAGTTATTAGCAGTATCTCAGCAGTTTAGTGATTCAAAGGACCTTTGGCACTGTAACCTTAAATTCAACTTCCTGAATGGTACACTAGTGGCATCAAATTTAAATATAATTCTGTCCAGAGAAGTGCTCAGAAGAGGGCCAGAGACACAGAGAGATCCCATAAGATGTCTGTCCTGGGGTTTCCAATATAGAATCTGTTAAGGGGAGTACTGTGGAGTCCTGCAGTGTTTGGAGATGAGGCCTTATAGTAGTGGACGTTGGGATTCATAATGGCAGGAGTTATCCATGTGGACAGCTGTGTCTCTGGTCCCACCAGAACCCTGACAGCTTGGTATCTGCAGGAGATGTGCTATTTGCTGGGTTTGGCTGTGTTTGTGTAGTAACAGCCACAAAGAGGACCAAGGTAGAGCTATTCATTCCAGGATGCACTGCATGGAACACCAGCGTCTCCGCAGATTCATTTCTGTCCCTGCTCTGTACATAGGAATTGCAGATACGGATAAAATGCTATGCACTTCACATTCCATCAGGCTTCCTCTTATTAATGCTTTTTTCCCCCCGTAGACAATTAGATCAATTTTTTTTCAAGATCTTACAGGGTTTTTATTAGAATACAACATATCGAGTGTGTCATTAAGGTCAGACTAATCATTACTACTGGGATTGCTTTTAAAAGTGCAGGAGACTTGGAATTTACTAAATAGAAGCTCCCCAGAGATGGGTCTGTGGATTAAATTTGAGGAGTTATACAATGTCCACTCATTTCCACTAGGAGCTGTTAATCGTTCAAAAGAGCTCAGCTCTTTGTTGATGAGAGAAATCTATTTTCATACTTGCTTGTTGGAAGCAATTTATTTTTGTCCTCAAACAGAATTAGATGTATAATTATAATTGTGTATCATCAACAGAAAACTGAAATGCATTCAAAATAATGAATATGAATGGCAATGAACTGGACTTCTTTCTTGATGTCTGATACATGGGTAACAGAAACGCAGGGAAAAAATACATTCACCTGCAATGGTATTTTCATTGGAACTATTTCCTTTTCAGATACAAGTTAATAAAATGTGTTCTTAAAAGCAATTTTAAAGTGAACATTTCAATATAAACTTTATTGAACTCTTCTTAACGTTAACAAAAAATTAAATAATTCTGATAGTGAGAATTCGATGCTTTCACCAAAATGCAGAATTACTCTAAGTGTATTACTGTAGTGAGTTGTCTCATGCTCTTTTAAGGATAACAATCACCTGGTTTAATTGGAAGAGGCCAAACTCATCCTGGGTGTGACTTCATTGACTTATATGGCATTACAGCACCGATGAATGTGGTCCAAGATGTCTTCAGTATCCAACAAAGAGAAATCACTGCATATTATGCCATGTGATCACAATAATAATAATTAGCCCTCCAGGTACTTAATGTAATGCTGTTACTGTACCACCCAGTATTAAAACTCAGCCCAAAAAGCATCCTGCTCTTGCCAACCCTTGGCTCTTTTTGTTCTTCACACTTCTCTTGTTGTAGGAAGGTTTATGCAAAGAAGTGGGTCTTGCACTGAGCTCTGAAAGTGATCTGGTTTGAGCTCTTTCTGATCTCCCAACCTAGCTCCCACCACCGTAAATACTCTGCCTCTGGCTCCCTCTAGTTTCTCCCTCAGCATCATCTAGCTTTCTTGGTGGGGCATGAATGGGAAAGGCAGCAACTAAGAGAGCCTGCTTCCAGCTACTAAGGCCTCATAGAGTGGCCATAAGACTTCAAAGTGGATCTGGAAGTGAACAGGGACCTAACACTGGGAATGGGGTTAATGATACCCCCCCCAAAATAGATCCAGGGTACCTTAGAGTAGCTCATCTATTGCCCCTTTCTGGGTTTACCATGGGTTCCCTTTAATTGACTCATTTATCTGTTTTTGTAAGGTGAAAGGAAGTTGCCAGTGTTTTGCAGGAAACGCTTTTAGGAGAAACTTCCCAGTACAGTTTAGACCTGCTACCAAGAGGGCTAATGTCATGGATGTTGAGGGCTGTCCTGTGCAGAATGGGGGTGAGGGTGGGGGCAAGGACACAATCTGGCATTATCTTTTATGTGGATTCCAGGACAACGCCAATCAGAACCATTGTATACACCACCTTCACAGAGGGCTTCCTGTCTTGAAATAGTTTGGATTCCAACATAAAGATGCCTGGAATCATCATAGTAAATTTCTCAGAGTCCTGATACCTGAAGAGACCCATAATCCCTCTTTCATGTCACACATATAAACAAGATTAATGGCAGGAAAGTCAGATAGGGGAAGATTAGACTGAGTATCTGGAAGACTTTTTGACTGTGAGTTTTATCAAGCCGTGGAATGTCCCTTGAAACTCTAAAGAGACTAGAAAATAGCCTGTGCTCAACAGGGGAGGGATTTGATGGTCTATATGGTTTTCCCCCATTACTTATTTCAGTAATTCAAGGAGCCTGATAGTCTGAT